TTTTCATGAACTATTTCCAGCTTCGCCTTTGCATTCTTAAATCTGTGAGGCTTCAAATCACAGAAGTAGTTCAGATTAACCTCCAATCCTATGTATAAAATTCTTCAAGATCGCCTCTTCTAATTGGTTCTCTGGTCTCTGCATGAACATGGAACTCCTAGCCCTTTCCTCCCGCATAGATGTAACTGATAGAATCTTCAGTCTTCTATTGAACCTAGGGAGATGGTATGATGTGGCTGAGTTATTACTTTTCTGGGAGTTGGGAGATATTGATCTGTCATTTTTAAAGGCATGACCTTGAAAAAGGTACTGAGCATCGATGTCTAAGCCTCTACTGAAAGTTTTCTTTATATTTTATTAGTATTTTTCAAACTCTGTGTTGTGAGCATTTAGTGATTTTCAGAATGCGGGCCCTGAACCAGTAGAACCAACATCATCTGGGAAGAAGTTAGAAATCATAATAGATACTGAAACAGAAATTTGGTGATGTGGTCCAGCCATCTGTGTTTTGGAAAGTCTTCCAGGTGATTTGAATGCATAGTGATGTTTGAAAACCACTGTCTCAGTTGTTTGTAAAAACAAATTAGAGGATTGAGACCTCCATTCAAAAAAACCCCTAATACTATAGGATAGTAAAAAGATTGCAATAGTCTTTCTATTATGAAATTAAGAAACAGGGTCCAAATAATTCTTAGATGAAAAAAGATATACAGTACAGAACACTTAGAAAACTCATTTTAAAATGGAAAAAATAATTATATAATTATGTGTTTTAAAAATGATGTAGATTATCCTAAACAAATTTAATATATAAAAGATAGATTATGGAAAATATTTGGCATCCATTTCACAGATAAAGTTCATATAAAAATAATTCTTACAAATGGGTAACATCTTCACAGAAAAATAAGCAAAGGATATAAACAAGAAAAATCTCAAAAAGGAAAATTCAAGTGACCACAAACATATATCAAAAAGTTAATCTCTGCAGGGCGCCTGGGTGGCTCAGTTGGTTAAGCGACTGCCTTCGGCTCAGGTCATGATCCTGGAGTCCCGGGATCGAGTCCCGCATCGGGCTTCCTGCTCGGCGGGGAGTCTGCTTCTCCCTCTGACCCTCTTCCCTCTCGTGCTCTCTATCTCTCATTCTCTCTCTCTCTCAAATAAATAAAATCTTTAAAAAAAAAAAGTTAATCTCTGCAACAGGAGAGTGATTTAAGTCAAATTACACTGAGATATCAGATTATATTCACAATTTACAAAGAATAAAAAAGAGCGACAATATCTATTGCTCATAGGCATCTCATAGGAATATTATAAATATGTATTCTCATACATTACTGCTAAAATAGTAATTATTAAAACAATTTTAGAATGTTGGCAAATCCATTAAAAATGAAAATACATATACAAATCAAACCAGCAATATTTCCCCAGAGAATCTGTTCCTTACATGTAAAAGACCAAGTTCAAAAAGATTGTATGAATGTATGTTCATTGTATGAAAAGATGTTTATTGCAGTATTATTGTAATAACAAAAAAATGAGAAGGCAAATGTCCATCAATAGGGAAATTACTGAATAAAATGAGGTTTGTCTTTGTAACATGGAATTTTATGTGGTTGCGCCTATACTAGTTGACTTGGAGGGACTGAGGGACTTTTGTATTGTTATTTAAAAATAATAATAATGATAATAATAATAATAATAATAAACCAGCAACTGCTAACATTTCTTCAATCTTTTTACACTTCTACTAAATCGTTTAGTCTTCTCAATCTCTTTGTCAAGTAAGTGTTTCTATTATTCCTTTTTTACACATGAGAAAGATGAAGTACAGAGAATTTAGTTCAATGTCACCCAGGTAATTAACATGGGAACCTAGAGGATAGTCTCAGTCTGGCTCCAGAATTTATACTCTTTTTTTTAAGTTTTTATTTAAATTCCAGTTAGTTAACACACAATGTAATATTAGTTTCAGGTGTACAATACAGCAGTTTACCATTTCCATATGTCACCCGGTGCTCATCACAAGTGCACTCCTTAATCCCCATCACCTATTAACACCCCCCCCCCACCTCCTGTCTGGTAACCATCAGTTTGTTCTCTATAGTTGAGAGTCTGTTTCTTGGTTTGTCTCTTTCTCTCTTTTTTGCCCTTTGCTTGTTTTGTTTCTTAAATTCCACATATGAGTGAAATCATATGGTATTTGTCTTTCTCAGACTGACTTATTTTGCTTGGCATTGTATTCTAGTTCTATCTATGTTGTTGCAAATGGCAAGATTTCATTCTTTTTTATGGCTGAGTAATATTCCATCACACACATACACACACACACACACACACACCCCCCACATCTTCTTTATCCATTCATCAGTTGATGGACACTTGAGCTCTTTCCATAGTTTGGCTATTGTTGATAATGCTGCTGTATTCATTGAGGTGCACCTATCCCTTTGAATTAGTACTTTTGTATCTTTTGGGTAAATACCTAGTAGTGCAATTGCTGGATAATGGGGTAGTTCTATTTTTAACTTTTTGAGAAACCTCTTTACTGTTTTCCAGAGTAGCTGCACCAGTTTGCAATCCCACCAACTGTGCATGAGGTTTCCCCTTTCTCTGCATCCTCACTAACACCTGTTATTTCTTGTGTCATTGATGTAAGCCATTCTGACGGGTGTGAAGTGATATCTCCTTGTAGATTTGATTTGCATTTCCCTGATGATCAGTGATGTTGAGCATACTTTCATGTGTCTGTTGGTCATCTATCTGTATATCTTTGTAAAAATGTCTATTCATGTCTTCTGCCCATGTTTTAATTGGATTATTCATTTTTTGGGGTGTTGAGTTTTATAAAAGTTCTTTATGGATTTTGGATACTAACCCTTTATCAGATATGTCATTTGCAAATATCTTCTCCACTCTATAGGTTGCCTTTTAGTTTTGTTGATTGTTTCCTTCGCTATGCAGAAGCTTTATATTTTGATGAAGTTCCAATAGTTTATTTTTGCTTTTGCTTCTCTTGCCTCAGGAGACAACAGCTGAGTCTACTGCCTGTCTAAGCTAGACATAGGTATATAATAGCACCCTATTTTTTGTAAAATTACATATAATTGTATAAGTATATATGTGAATGTATATATGTGTGTGTATATATATATTACATACATATAAATATTAGAGGCCAAAATTATGTACAACTTGGAAGCCTTGGCTTTGAAGAATGGAGAAAGGTTGTGTTAGGAAAGAGGAGAATGTTGAGCAGAGATAAGCCAAAAAAAACAAAACAAAACAAAAAAACAAGAAACTGCATTTAAACCATGTATACATAATAAAAAGCAGCCGATGTGATATGATCCCGTTCATATAAAATTATATACTTGAGTGTGAGGTGTCAGTATATGTGTACATATGTGTGTGTATTAATAGAGAAATGCATGAAGCAATGTTTTGCAAAATAGTCATTTTAGTTGTTATAGTTTTATTTTCCCCTTTATATTTTTGAATATTCAAAAGTTTAAATAAAGAAGCTTTTTTGTTTTTTTAATAACAGGGTTATTATTTTTAATAACCAGCATTCAAAACAACCCCATTCCTTAAGTGTAGGCTTTGCATAGTGAATTTCTTCTAATATATACAGTTGGAAAGAGAAAAAACAATACCTTTATGGTGGAGAAACTTGACAGTCTCTGGTGATCAAACCTGGTAATCAAGGGTAATAACAACATTGATGAGTCCTGTTGATATTATGTATCCTTTGTATGATGTGTTGAGAATGGCTCTTTACCTCTGTGGTCTCAAAACATATCGCTCCAGTTTAATCAGGAGAAAGAAACAGGAAACAGCTCCCAATTGAGAGATCTTATCAATATGCCTCAAAAAATCAAGATCATCCAAACCAAAGAAAGTCTAAGAAATTGTTACAGCCAAGAGGAGTCTAAACAGAGATGACTACTAAATTTAATGCAGTATCCAGATGGGATCCTAGAAGAGAAAAAAAAAATTAGGAAAAAGACCGAGAGAATCTGAATGAAGTATAGACTTTAGTTAATAATAAATGTATCAATATGTATTCTCTACTTGTGACAAATGTATTATACTAATGTAAGATGTTAATAATAAGGAACTGGGTGGAGGATATGGAGAAACCCTCTGTACTATCTTTGCAAAAATTCTGTAAATTTATAACTATTATAAATGAAAAAGTTCATCCAATAAAAAAGAAAATCACACTGGTTAAAAAACAAAACAAACAAGATACAAGGCAGGCATTCTTTTAGATGCTACAGTTACCACAGGGTACCATACAAACAGACCAGTTCCTGCTAGGATCTTAAATACTAACATAATAGATGATCAATGGCTCTGTCCTTCATCCCAACAAAAAAAAAAAAAAAAGAAAGAAACTTATTTTAGCTACAGGCTCCCAAGCTCTGCTACATGATTCACATTTTTTAAAAAAAGATTTATTTATTTATTTGAGAGAGAGAGAATGAGCGAGCAAGTGGGGGAAGGGGCAGAGGGAAAGAATCTTCAAGCAGACTCCCTACTGAGTGGGGAGCCCAAAGCAGGTCTTGCTCTCTCACTCACCCATGAGATCATGAGCTGAAACCAGGAGTCAGAGGCTTAACTGACAGAGCCACCTAAGGCCCCTATCCACATTTTCTTTTCTTTCTTTCTTTTTTTTTTTTAATTCAAGAACTATTTATTGAGTGCCGGTTATGTGCTAGAAGCTGTTCCAGGTACCTGGGTCACATCAGAGAACGCAACAAAGGCCCCTGCCCTCGCGGAGCTTACAGTCTAGGCTTCCTCCCTCCGCACGCTGTGACCCCGAGCGAGCCACCGCCCCTCCCTGGGCCAGTCCTCAGCTGCCCACAGCGCGAATCTGCAGGCCCGGCTCCGATGTGGGGACCGTGCCCGCTGCACCGTCAGCGCCAAACAGGACACCGGGCTCAAGCCCCAACACTCCCCTTCCCCCTACCCCCAGAGAGCAGAAAGGGCTAGAAGCTGACTTTTACTAGTGAAGTACAAGGGGGAAGGGCAGAGGGACTGGAGCCGGGTGGTCAGGTGTCCTACTGCCCCGGGGCCTGGGCTGGCTACACGAAGTGCTGCCGCTGTTGCCGCTGCTTGCTGGCCGCCTTGCTGGCAAGGTCCTTGGCCTTCTCTGTAGCTGCCAGTGCCGTCTCCTTGGCCTTCTCCTTGGCTTCCTTGGCTGTCTCAAGGAGGGTTTTGGAAGGGGCCTCCCCTTGCAGCTTGGCCATGTACTCAAAGCCCTTCATAGTCTTGGTCACATTGCTTTTGAACCGGGCAAGACCAAATCCCTGGACAGCTCTGGAGACACCAAATAAGCTAGAGGAGACCCAAGCTTCCTGGCGGATTTCGGTCCAGCCGCTGTTATCAGAGTTCACACAGTAAACACACAGTTCCTCCACCACCATCAGCTGGGTGTGGTTGATGTTCCAGGTGAAGGTGGTCATGGTCTGGTTCTGCGGGTCCACAATAGAATCCTCCAGGATGTACACCAAGTGAGCAACATTGGCAGGAAACAGTCGCTCGGCCCAGGGGGACATCCTGTTGGCCTTGGTCAGGAGACACTGGGACAGGAGTTGCTGGTCAGGGGTCACCTCCCGGTGCACTATGTCTTTCGTCAAGACATGTTTGCTATAGGGATTCCGGTACTGCTGCCAAAAGGCAGCGAACACTTGGTCCCAGGAAATAGGGAGCACACTCTGGCCCAGGAAATACTTCACCACGGTCCCAGTCCGGGCGGGCTCAGCACCCACGCAGCATAAGGGGTGCGATGCCCCGGGGAAGGGGGGGCACGCGGAGGCCAGACCGGGGCTCGGTGCGCGCCAGCCAGGCTCGCAGCTCAGTCACCACTGCTCTGCACCCAAGCAGCCGCCGCGGCCATGAGGAGTCCCCTATCCACATTTTTTTTTAAAGATTTTATTTCTTTATTTGACAGAGAGAAAGAGACACAGCCAGAGAGGGAACACAAGCCGGGGGGAGGGAGAAGCAGGCTTCCCGCGGAGCAGGGAGCCCGATGCGGGGCTCGATCCCAGTGGCCTGGGATCATGACCTGAGCTGAAGGCAGACGCCTAACGACTGAACCACCCAGGCGCCCCCCCAACCACATTTTTGTTGAGCAATTTAGAATCTTGTTTTTGAAAACCAGCAAAATTACTGTTTTCTTTTTTTTTCTGTCATAGTCAATGCTTATTTATATTTACTAATTTATTGACTTATCTGTTCACTGTTAATTTTCATATCTAATTCTTTATCCAAGACTCCTTTTCCCTTTTGCTAAAGTAAACTTCTCAGTGATAGTTTATTCTTTAAAGATATTTTTATCTTGTACTCATGATTCTATGATAGTTTTTGTGGCTATAGAATTCTAGATGGACAGTTATTTCCTTCAGAAATTTGAAGCTGTTATTACATCAATCTCTGGATTCTAAAAAATTATATTTTCTCACATTCTTTAAGTTCTTTTTGTCTTTGATATTCCTCAGAGATCAAGAAAAAGAGTCATGAGACAAGCATAGTGAAATCAGCAGGTGCCAGATCTTACAGGGTGTTATGGGTCAAACTATGGATTTGGACAACTGCCTTAAAGGTATTGAAAGATTTTTAGCAAGATGTCATGTTCTGGATTGAAGTTTTAAATGATCACACATAATACTTTGTGAGTAATTCATTAAAGAATGGCAAGCTTTTGACTTTTTCCTTAACACTTTCGATATAAAACATGCCAAATTAATTTTTCTAAATCAAATTAAATCTTGGCTGTAAAATCACTTTCCAAGGTTGGTAAGAAGTATAATGTTGGTTACGTTCTCTTACCTGAGGTTATATGTGGGTCCTGGGGTTCTGTGCCTGCATAAACAGCTCTAGGTTGTACCTGGAAGCTGCAGAACATGTTTGTCCTCTCCCTTCCTTCCCTTGCTGCCTCACCAGAAGGAGGATCATGCTTACCTGGACTCCTACCACTGTCTGCACAGGTCATTAAAATTTGTGTTGACCCATTGGAAGTTCCATTCCGTCTTTGCCAATCTTGTCCTTAGGGGTTCTCTAACCAGTGTCAAAGCTAGGACTAATTTTTAGAAGCATGTGTGCAACTCTTAGACTATCCAGGTAAGTTTTGGGTCTTTTTTCTTTTTTTTTTTCAGTTGAACCAGACCTTATAAAACAAAGGACTGTTTCAGATATGCCTTTAAGATATCACTTCTCAACTTTTTCTTTTGAACCTGAAATATTAAACAGTACTTAATTCCTTTCAGATACCAGGGTGAATGGAAAAGGAACACATGGCTTAGGTATTAAGGCCAAACTATTTTGTTGGGAAGAGTTGGGGAAAAGTACTTTCTGAAGACTACGTAGGAAGGTTTTCAGTGTATATCGAGGCTATGGTTATTGCAAGTGTTTTTCCCCAGCCTGTAGCTTGTCTTTTCATTTACCTAACGGTGTCTTTCAAAGAGTAGACATTTTAAATTTTTATGAAATCCACTTTATCATTTTTATTCTTTTATGGTTTACCATTTTTATGTCATCTATAAGAAATCTTTGTTCTCCCAAGGTTATGAAGGTTTTTAGTTACATTTTCTTCCACAAATTTTATCACTTTAGCTTTTGTATTTAGGACTCTGATTCAAGTTACTTTTTGTGTAAGGTAGAAGGTAAACATCATGGTTTACTTTTTCCAAATGGTAAGCAATTCTTTCAATAGCATTTGTTGAAAAAAGACTATCCTTTACTCATTGAATTGTGGTGGTACCTTTGTCAAAAACAATTGGTCATATAGGGGTGGGTTCATGTTGAAACTACCTATCTTTTGCATTGATCTACATATTTATTTATATGCTGATGCTACACTTTCTTAATTACCATGGTTTTATGGTAAGTCTTGAAAACAGTTCATATAAGTCCTCAAAATTCTTTGTTCTCTTCAAAAATTATTTTGGCTCTCCTAGGTCTATATGTTTCCAAACAGATACTAGAAACCTTTTTGTTAATTTCTACCAAAAAAAAATGCTTTCCAGGAATTAATTGAAATTGTAACAAATGTAGATATCAATTTGAAAGGAATTGACAGTTTAACAGTATTTAGTCTTCTAACCCATGGACGTGATAAATCTCTCCACTTATTGAGGTCCTTAATTTCTTTCAGCACTGTAGCTTTCATTGTACAGGTCTCGCATATATTTTACTAAATTTATCCCACGGTATTTCATGTTTTGGGATGTGATCGTATGTGATTATTTTAAATTTAATTCTCTGATTATTTGTGGCTAGTATATAGAAAACAGCTGGTTTCTGTGAAATGACTTTGTTTTCTGCATTTTTGTCTAACTTAATAGTATTAATAGCTCTTTTTAAAAAATCCTTAGCCTTTTCTACACACACGATTATGTTATCTGTGAATAAAGACAGTTTTGCTTCTTTCTTCCCCAGCTTTATGACTTGCATTTTTGTTTTCTTGTTTTACTGATGAGGAGCTCCAATTTGATAGTGAATAGAAATGGTGAGATTGAGCACCAAAATAAGCTGATGACTGTGAAAGTGCTGTTGTATAAAAATGTTAATATCATTTATTATTCCCTGTATATGCCAGCAGATATGGTAGCAGTTAATAAATATAGGAGGGATCCTCATGGTATAGCACATATATATGTGTTCCTGAAGAGAATATAATTCAGTTATGATTTTTAAAAAGTTCTAATTTGGTCTGAGCCATTCCTTAGTTTCATAGTTTTGAGTGAATTATTAATACTTCCAAAGATGCAGTTAAATGGAGAAAACAGTATTGGCTTCATAACATGTTTTAGCCGTGACTCTTTCAGATGCAAGTTACAAAAACTCCAGCTCAACTAGTTCAAGTTAAAAACATAACAAATGCAATTTATTTACTTCTGAAAAAGATTTGTGGCACATCTGGCTTTCAGCCACTCCTCAGATTTGCTTAGCTGATTCTCTCCATGTGGTAGCCAATAGGATTCACAGGGATTCCAGACTAACATATTCCTTCAAGAAAGAGAGAGTGCCTCTTTCTTAATGATTCTGGTAAAAGTCCCAAGAAGTGATGCATGTAGCCAGTAGATGTCATGTAATGACTGACCATTTCTGTGTTGTCTGAGCATCCTGGAAACCAGAGGGCAAATTGAGTCCCGCTTGAACTACTGGCCTAAGGGACCAGTAGGCTCCAAAATTTCTTGTCTTTATCTTTCATATCTGCATCACATTCTGATGATCTCTGAAAATTTGATGTTCCTCTTGGTTCCTCTCTGCCTCTCCAGAACACCTTTTCCATCTCTCAGTAACCCAGTCTCCGTAGGCTTGCCATAATAAACAGTAATGGTGCCACAGGGGTGACCAATGGTGCTGGTGATTATATATTGTGGCATAAGTTTTAGATCAATGACTCCAAGCAGAAGGGACTTTTCCTCCAAAATGGGTATAAAATATACATCTCATCACCACAGATCACAAAAAAATGCCTTGTATGGCAAAAGAGGACATAGATACAATTTTTTTTCAATGTTCATAGGAAAAGGCAGCATTTCCTTCACATTCTTCTTCTGCAGAGCATATTGAAGTGAGGCAAAGCCGTCTGTAAAATAATTTAATAAATATTTAGTCATCAAATGTAACTTTTTAAAAAATATTGATTTATTTGACAGAGAGAGAGTGCATGAGCACGAGCAGGGGAAGTGGCAGGCAGAGGGAGAAGCAGGCTCCCCACTGAGCAAGGAGCTGAACATGGGGCTTGATCCCAGGACCCTGAGATCATGACCTGAGCCAAAGTCAGAGGTGTAACCAACTGAGCCACCCAGGCACCCCTCAAATGTTACTTTTTAAGTATCAAAGAGATAAGTGGTAACTGGAGCTCAGAATTAAGGAAGGGACTGCTGTAGACTGTCACACAAGGGAGCATTCCAGCTGGACCATGCTGGTCCCTCAGCTATACTATTTAAGAGTCATTCCCAGTTTCTTAATGCAGAGAATGGAAATAACTTCGGAAAGCATTATACACTCCTATTCTTCATGTATGTGAGGAATTGTACAGTTTTCATTTCAGATTATGGGTTCAGGCATTTTCAGCAAATCTCTTGTCTCCCTGAATCTCTGAGTTAAAAAAAAAAAAGCACTCTTATTGTTCTTGTATATAAATATCTGGACTACATTTGATATTGAGAGAGGAGATTCTGGTGTTCTGAGTAGGCAAAACCAGAAAAGCAGCGTTATTTTCAGCATTCCTGCATGTATTATTTCTTCTGAGTTGCTTCTGAATGATTCTGCCTCTATTCCTCTATAACAGTAATAGTGGGTACAGTAGGGTATACCCTAGTGTTTTGTTCTCCCAGAATTTTCTTCACATAGTCGAATTTTCTTCTTTCTCAAGTAAGGTATATGAAACAGAATAAAAATAAATAAATAAGGAAAAATAAAGGTGACATGACAATTTATGCTCAGAAATGGTGGGTCAGTGCAAATCTGGATTTCTTAGCTGGATAGATGACCTCATTACTAAGAGTTGTTTATATAAGCCATCAATTTTAACCTTGCAGATACATCTTGACTTTGAAACCCAAACAAGACAGACTGAGTTATTTCAGTTGCCTTCCAAACATCCCTACTTCCATGTCAAAGTTTAAGACAAAGGAAGCAAACCTTTCTCCAGTTGCCGCTACTTAACTATGACACTGACTGGGAAACAGTTTTTAGAAGAGTTGGTTAATTTTCATTAGAATTAACATGAGGATTTTTCCTAGGGTCCCACAATTCCATGATGTCTTTTAAAATCATCTGGTCTGTTCAGGTACCCCATACTCTGTTCCCTCTCTTATTTTAAACTCACATTCCAAAGGCTTGACCTTCTCATCAATATAAACAAGAGCGTCAGGGATTTAAGTG